GTCCGCCTTTGCCGTCCCGGAGGCTCGCAGTCAAGCCTAAACTGCAGGTGTTTGGGCAGGTCGCTAGGCTGCCCGAAAGATAAGGGGTGCGTGGTAATTAAAGTGGAAAACTGAAAGTCACCTCGTTGTTACACGGTCCTGTATATTGTGTCAGTACCCGGTACTGTGTTATCCAACATCCCAGGGAGAAATGGAGGCTCTGCTGTCACTTTCACTTTCCAAAGCTGATAAAAGTTGTGTGGCTCAGCAATAGAAGGTGCTGGGCCGGTACAGGAGTGGTGTGTGTTGGGCTAAGTGTCCACAGCTTTGTTTCCGGGTTGAACATAAACCTGGCATAGTCCTGAACTCAGCTGGCAGGTCTGGGTGCTTCTGGGGCCTCTTCCCTGACCCTTCCCCCCAGAGCATTCCTGAAGAAGCACTTAGCCTGGAACTAACCGCAAGCTGTTGACACGTTTGCAGGTAATTGGCAGCTGAGATGTCACAGGGGTTGCTGTGCACTTCCTTCTAACAAATAGACTGCTTTTACTATTTTGCTTTTATTCTCAAACTCAAGGGACACTTTGCCTAAATGTACTAGCTGCAGGCTGTGCTCTTGGTGCATAAACTGGTGTGTTTGTCCTTCTGTTCTCTCCAATTGCTATGTATTTTCAAAGACAGCTTTTCCAGTAATTTTTCCTTAAATTACTTAAGGCTTATCTTTACTGCAGAACAGATTTCAAGATGAGGGATATGCTTGAATTAATAGAGATAAAGCCCCTATCCTGAGTGGCTATCTTGAAGAGAGTCAACTGCAGGAACATATAGCAGCTCCAGGGCTATGCTGACAAGCAGCATGCACAGCTCCGTACTTGTCTTGCCATCTTCTCTCTGTTTGTGTTACTTCAAGTGGAGTTCTCCCAAGCATAGGTCACGGCACAGCTAATTTGAGACTTGGCTTTACTTTCAAGTGGTTATGTTCTCTTTCAGACGTGCCCTTTAACAGCTGCTTTATGATTGACCTAACTTGGAAATTAATTAATTTCTAAATCCAGCCTTGTGCCTGATGATGTTGTGGGAAACGGGCTTCAGGCTTCCTGGTGACTCCATGGGTCTAGTCTAGGTCACTGGATAGAGCTCAAGATGATCTGTTCTTCCCCCAGCAGTTCCTGCCTTGTTTTTCCTCCTATCCACAGGACTGCCTCTTCTTAAACTGAACTAAATTGCAATCTTTGTACTATAGTATTGTATTAATGGCTCTTTCACCTGTCTTACAGTAGACTTCCTTTCTTACCTAGTGCCTAATAGGCCCTCTAGTTCAGTATTTGACAAGCTTACAGCTGATTTTTCTCTTCTTGGAAGCATTCTACAGTTGCTGTAGGCTTTGTAGTTCTCCCTTGTTAATGCCTGCCTTTCCTGAGCCACATCTTCTTTGGATAAGGAATGTGGATGGTGATTTCTCCTCACCCCTAAGTCTCTTCTAACCCATTTTGGCGGAAGTTACTGCCTATGATGCAATGAGAGAGGCAAAGTTCCCACAAGTCAGAGGGAGGGGAAAGAGAGAAGAAATGCAGCAAGTGGACATTTTGGGAAAGGAAATAAGAGCACTGCAAGCTTTTCCCCTTGCCCACTGACTTCTTTTTTTATTGGGACATCTTTTGAAGTTTAAAAAAAAAAAAAAAAGAGAAGCTGCACTCCCAAGATCTTCATACTTCATGCCTTTTGGTGACAACATAAACATAGTCCCAGCTCCCAGAAGTCCTGGGACACTGTAACTCTTAGAACTTACAAGAAAAGCCTTTTGTAAATCTTAAACTTCTCTCATAGTAGGGGAAGAAAGTGCGAAGATCTTGAGATCAGGCTTCCCAACCACAGTCTGCTAAAAGGTTGGAAATGTACATTCTCCACAGTTATCAGTAAAAAAGAAGGAAGGTTTCTTGTAAGACTATTTGCTCAAGAATCTGGAGACAGCAACAATAGAAGTTTTTATTTTCTCCGTTTGATTGCTGAGATAGATGAATTGCAAATCCAGAGGCTGAGGAGAAGCAAAATAAGATGTATCTTTGTAAATCATTAAATTAGGTTTGATGGATCAAGGTAGTTTTACTGGGCTGTTTGATTCACACCAGCTTGAATGTATCAATAAAAATGAAGTTAAGATTATGTGTAAAAGTGTTTGCCTTTTTTAGCATCCAGTTCTGATCTAGGATAAAGTTTCATAGAAGCAAATGGTTCCAAAGAACAACCTGGGCAGCAATAACCCTCTGCTTGGGACAGTGTTTTATTGTTCTCTTTTGCAGGTGTCAGATATTCATATCAGTAAATTTCAGGATCCCAAACGAGCTCCTGACTTTGAAAAATTCTGTTCTGAAACAATTGATATAATTCAGCCAGCACTTGTTCTAGCAACAGGTAAGCAATTCAAAAGTGTGTATTTCCTGTTGAATGTGTTGTCAAAGGAAGAGCAAATAATTAAAATTCTAGGTTCTCAAGAGAGAACCTTAAGGTATATTAAGCAATGGAAATGGAATTGCAGCTGAAGATAGACTGCTAGAAGCAGAAGATAACTTCTCAAGAGAATTAGTTTTTGTTTAATGTCCTGTCTGATGGTGAGTTTAGTGTGTATTATATGTAACAAAGATGTAATTATGCAATACAGCTATTGTTTTCCCAATACTTATCACTACACCTTAGTCCTTGCTAGCAGTTACCTTCCTTCTCATCCTCCTGGTAGTGATTCTACATCATTCTTAGTATTTGGAATTATGTAAGTGAGGTTGTTAAAAGCTAGTTTTTCTCTCAGAACAATCCATGCTCATTTGTATGAAATGGACCTGTGAACTAATGTAAGATTTAATTGCTGGTTTCCATTTGAACATATCATACCAAGACAGGTAAAATCAACCTTGCCATTTCATTTGATAGCTTACTATTGCTATTGAAATGGATTAAGCAAATCATTGCTATTTGCATTACTAATGGAAAGCAAATCACTACTATTTGCAAGGTTTTGGAAACTTAATGCTAGACCTGAACTTTCGTTTCTACAGGGAGTTACTTATAAGCCACTTGCTTTTTAAGTTAAGAGTTCAGAAACAGTTAGCATTCATCTTTTAACTAGCAATTCAGGGAGGCATTACTATATGAACAGAAAGGGGAATGGTTCAAACTTTAATTGGAGCTTGAGAGGATACAGAAGGTCTGAAATAAAGCCAAGTGCCGGGTTCTGCACTTTGGTCACAACAACCCCCTGCAATGCTACAGGCTCGCGGCAGAGTGGCTGGAAAGCTGCCCGGCAGAGAGGGACCTGGGGGTGCTGGTCGACAGCCGGCTGAACATGAGCCAGCAGTGTGCCCAGGTGGCCAAGAAGGCCGACGGCATCCTGGCCTGTATCAGCAATAGTGTGGCCAGCAGGACTAGGGCAGGGATTGTGCCCCTGTACTCAGCACTGGTGAGGCTGCACCTTGAATCCTGTGTTCAGTTTTGGGCCCCTCACCACAAGAAGGACATTGAGGGGCTGGAGCAGGTCCAGAGAAGGGCAACGAAGCTGGTGAAGGGTCTGGAGCACAGGTCTGACGAGGAGCAGCTGAGCGAGCTGGGGTTCTTGAGTCCGGAGAAGAGGAGGCTGAGAGGAGACCTTATCACTCTCTACAACTACCTGAAAGGAGGTTGTAGTGAGGTGGGGGCTGCCCTCTTCTCTAAAGTAACAAGTGATAGGACAAGAGGAAATGGCCTCAAGTTGCGCCAGAGGAGGTCTACGATGGATATTAGAGAAAATTTCTTCACTGAAGGAGTGATCAGGCATTGGAACAGGCTGCCCAGGGCAGTGGTGGAGTCACCATCCCTGGAGGGGTTCAAGAAACGTGTAGATGTGGTGCTTTGGGACATGGTTTAGTGAGTTAGGTGGTGTGGGTTGGACTTGATGATCCTTGAGGTCGTTTCCACCCTTAATGATTCTATGATTCTATGAAATTAAACAAAGCTTCTATGACTAGAATTTTCAGGAATAATGAATGTGTAACAATTTTCTTCACTTCTAGTAATACCATGACAAAGTACTGCAGTGATGTGCTTGACAGATGTTTGAACAGGCTGCTGCATCTGCATTAGAAGGCATTTATTTTGTAGTAACCTCTTGGACCAGATGACAGGAATATCCAGATTGCATCCAGGAGGCTTGGATTGCATGCTTGCCTTGTTACAGTATGTGTGTAAGCTATGTAGGCCTCTAGTTATATCTCACCTTTGTACACTTTCAGGTGACCTGACAGATGCTAAGACAAGAGATAAAGTGGGATCTGAGCAGGTAGAAGCAGAATGGAAAATTTACCAGTCAATCCTGAAGAGATCAAAGGTCATGGAAAAAACCAAGTGGATAGACATCAAAGGCAATCATGGTAAGAAGGAAATGAAACATCTCTTTCTTTCCTGTGATTACAGACCTGATTTAGGCAACTCAAAATATAAAGTGTTAATACTTACTAGCATGTTAGTGGTGGTTATGAGTCAGTAGAAGGGCTTGCCATCCATGTGTCTGCTCTACTGAGGGCACACTTTGTTTACAGGCACTTACTGGATTTTTAGTACCAGGGACGTAAGAGTCTTCATTTATCACTTTTGCCTGGCAAGAGGTAGAATGTAGCTTCAGCTGTTAGTTTCCACAGCTATTAGTTTAGATACTCCGTCTTTTGATGGGAGGGCAAGCTGTCACTTTACCCTACTGAAGAAATGGTTTCAGTTTACTTTTCATAGACCTCTTCCCACAAGTTTGAGTTAAAAGGTATCACATGTTCAGCAGTTAAAGGGTATTTGGTCTCTTTTGAATAGAAAGAACTCTTGGAAATTTGTACACAGAGTTGTTGCTATTTTCTAAGCAATCAAACACAAGCTGACAACCTTGTAGGCCCTGTAAGCCAGCTGTTACAGGAAGGGCAAAACTAGAAAGCCTAGCACTGGAGAGGGGGGAAAAAAGGTGCACGATTTGTCATGTACAGCCCATATACGACATTTTACTCCCATTTCCCTATCAGGCTTCTGTTACCAGCCTTAGAGGTGGACCTCTAAGGTACAAACCTCCCCAATACACATGCTATCCTCTGGTGCTATTGCTACTTTATTTTCCTTGGATGAGTTAGGTCTTACTTATAGAGAATGCACCTAATCCAGAAAGCTTCTGAAAAGCTTTATGGCCAAAGTGGAGACACATGGTTGGCTTTTAGCCACTAAATGACAATTTACATACCCACAGCAACTTATCTTTGAATCAAAACTTAAATGAGAAAACTATTCCCACTTTAGGTCAGCTGCATCAAGTATATGCCTTATCTGCATAGTTAGATACTCTGTTTGTCAATTATCTGTTAAAAAAAATAGCTCTTCGGTGCCTGCTGAGACTGCTTTACTTCGACATTAGAAAACAAAATACAGAGGTCAATGATCACTTTGATCTGAAAGTTTCCTCATTTCCTTTTTCTCTCCCTTACAGATTCATTCAACATTCCACACCTGGATAGCATTTGGAATTATTACAGGTACTTCTATTTACCATACAGATGCCATGTGTAATCAAGGTCAAATCACTAAACAGTATTCTGTTTTCAGTTATCATGTATATGCTTTTTCAATTACTTTCCTGTAGTCCAGGATCATATTTGCTATTCCTTCTGTCTTTTCCATTATCAGTTAGTAGAGCAGAATAGATTGTGAAAATAGAGAATGCTTTGTGCAGACTTTTTATCACTTATCCCTCTGTGTTTTGTAATTGAATATATTGTAAATCTGCCTGTGTCTAGGAAAAGTTCTGTGCATTGTGTGTTGTTTCCTCAGAACAGTTGTGTGATATATTTCTGTAAAACCAATGTTCCTAAAGAATGCTTTTCCTCCTTAAATAGATTAAGAAAAAAAAAGAAAGCAAGAGAAAACTTCACTTTTTTTTTTTTTGGTGTTATTTCTGCATACCCAGAAAGGTTTTTCATGTCATATGGGTCTAAATTTTATCTGAGCCATTTGTTACATTTCAGTCATTTTAGAAAACGGAATGTAGTGAAATGAGAAGGCAGATGATGATGATGGGTGGACAAATGTTCTTGAGGGACACACTTGAGATTTAAGCGTGCACATCCCTATATCTTTTGCCACTGTTGTGGCTACATGACAATCTAGTATCAGTCTTCCACTCTAGTTTAAGGCTGCTGTCAGAAGTAGCACCAGTGAATTTGCCAGATTATCACTCAATTGTTGTTTGGCCTGGACAAGCTTATGGTGTGGAAAGATGTATGGATCACCTGCCTGTTGTCCACACTGAAGATGCACTGATAGTAAAAGGGATTGGAAAGGATTAGGGTGACATTTCAAATCAATTTAGTCAATTTAAGAATTTGAGTGAAATTGAGTCAAGTGAAAGAGTCTTTGCTTATTAATTAACACTATCTTCTTAAAAAAATGTGTTATAATGCTTTTTTGCTTTATTAGTCTGTCATCGTGCAAAATAAAGAAAATGTAATGAGATTGATCATACTTTCTATCTAAGACTGAAGAAAGGCACTAAGAGTCCTCAAAAGCTGTCAAGCATCACTAAAAGCAGAACTATCTTTACAGGGACAATTTCATTAGTCTGATACATTAGTAAAATATAAATATTAAGAAAATGTTTAGTAAGTGTCACACTCTAGGAAGAGAGAAAGGAGGTGGCAGAGTGAAATGGAGTCTTGTGGAAGCCTTTTCTCCCCCACCTCTGAAGTTAAACAGTCAAAAGGACAATGACCTTTTTTTTTTTTTTCCCCCCTGTCTGAGCAACAGTAAGGCACTGTCTGCTTGCCTTTATGTGATTCCTGAACAAATAGTTCATTCTATGCTGTACACCTTAGAGCACTGTAGCTTGCAGCTATAAAAACAGAGGCTAGGGAAAGCAGTTATTTAACACCACATTCTGGTGTTCATTATGTGTTAATATTAAAGAAGGCAGCAGCTTTATTGAAATACAATATAATTCCTATATTATGTCCACAGCATGAGCATGTGTAACAACTGTTAGACATATTCTAAGTGAGACTAAAGGCAGAAATTTTAGGATTATGATACTGAGCTTCCAGTTTTCTTATTGAAGTTCATGATGTTCATAAAGGTAACATTAACTTTGAAAAAAGAAACATTGTGAAAGGCTCTTTGGTGGTATTTGAAGTATTAATTTATATGTGAAACTTGTTTTTAATATATTGGCTTTTATTCTGTTCAATTTTATTGTTTATTCTGATTGGTGGAGGAATAGTGATATGAACTGCTTTCCGGATGGCTATATTCAAACTATGCTCATCATCTGAACTCAGGGATGTTTTAGTTTCTACGTATCATGCAGGGAGTTTAAAAAAAAATCCAAACACACACAGAAAACCCCAACCCCAAACCCCAAAAGAAAATAAAAAAAATCCCACCCAATTAAACCAAATAAGTTTTAGTTAATCTCAGATTTACTCACAACCATTTTAATTCTCAGAATTTAATTCTCAACTGAGCAATTTAGTACGTACCATTAGTTGGAATGTTATCTTCTTTGCCAGTGGAGGATACGTGCAATTCCTGTCTAGCATAAAGTATCAAAAGCACTTCCATTTTAGAAGTTAGAAAAACTGCAAATATCTGTTGTCCGTGGAAAGAGAGAAAACAACATATACATTCATTACTGCATGTATTTATCATAGCCAATATTACCATAAAACCATGGAGGGGAAAAAAGGTAGAATTAGTTGACACATCTTTTAAATCCTTCCCTGTTTCCAGTTTTCTCTTAGAATATTTTAAGATTAAGATTAGACTACCAGTGTATTTTAAGATTAAGGTTCAAGAGTTCAATTAACATCAGGTAATGTGCAAGAGCAGCAACCCTTTCTGATCTCTCCTTTTGCTCTTTGAATGAGGAATTCTGGTGACATTTCACAGGTGACAGGAGAACTCATAATGTTCTTGACTTGCTATGTCAAGAAATGAGAGTAATAAGCAAGAGGAAATGCTGCCTTCTTTGCTATTTATAAGATTTTGTCTAGTGTCTCTGTTTTGGATCTTTCGGAAAATAACTGGAAGGGTTCAATATTTCTTTGATTCAAAATTGTATTCTATTAGCCAATAGCTGATCATTTTGCATCAGCGTAACTTGTCTCCACTATTTTGTTAGAGATCTAAGACTTGATGTCCCTGATATTTCTAGGTAAACAAGGAAAAATTCAGATACCGATGATTAAACACAAGACAATTTTTTTTCCTTTGCAGATCTCCTTTAATTAAGAGTGTTGTAAGATCCTGATATCCTGTCATCTATTTGTTTTGCATTGTTTATGCTGCTGGCCTTTATCCATTACCATGTTGCTCAGGGAAAGCTTATTTATGCTAACATTTAAAAAAAAACATGTTTGTGTGTTATCCTGTGGCTTGTCTTAACACATCACCCATGTCATGCATCTTCTCTGAACTGCTATTTCAATGCCATTGATTTTTAAGAAGATACTTTACTGCAGTAAAAAGATGGAGCTAGATCCAATGCAAGAAATCTTCCACTTTTACTCCTCAGGTAATTTTTGTCATTGCTGCAAGCTTTCCTAACAGCAGTATTTCCATTTTATTTTGTCAGGAAATACTCTGCCTGGCGTAAAGATGGTTCTTTCCATTACATCCACACCACCTCTTTTGGGAACTATTCATTCATCTGTGTGGATGCTACACTGAGCCCAGGCCCTAAGAGACCCTACAATTTCTTTGGAATTTTAAACACGGTATTTATAAGCCTTGGCATTCCATTTTGATGTGTGTTTTACTTCTATAGTGGTTTGTTTGTGTGTTTTGTTTTTTTGTCTTTATGAAGAATTGTTTGAAAGATCTGTGTTTATCTAAGAGAGTCTTTACATTTTTATGTTCTTAAGTTATTATGCATGTGGGACATTTAGTTAGAAAAATGAATGTGTCACTTAACATGTAGAGTATCTGTGTTTCCTCTCTTAAGAAATAATCCAGTACAAAATGTCAAATTAGACATCTTAAGGACACTATCAGTAGTTTCTTATCACTCAAGTCTAGCTAAATGCTGATTTCCTTATATGCTGTAAAGTTTAAAAAAAAAAAAACTCAAACTTTAATTTCACTCCTTTTTTGCTTTGTTAGATGCATTTTTCATTAATATTACAGATGAGAGAGTTGCACTTAGCAATGGAATAATGTGAAAGATAATGCTATAAAGAAATGTGTCCCTTATGAAAGTGAGGGCTGATCTTCTGAGACCATAAAAATTACATGGGATTGTTTTGAAAGAATAACATTAATCCCAATGTTTAAATCATATATCAGCTTAGATAACATCGTGCTTCCCTTTGACTTTTATCTGTAGTTCGTTGATAAGCTATTGTTCTTGAGATACTCTTCTGAAGTGTTGGCAGAGAAATACTGTGTTCTCATAAACAGATAATAATATTTTCCCTGTGATAACGGCCTCAATGAAAAGGAAAATGTTCTCCCTCTAATCTTGTCTAAAGGAGGCTCCACATTTAATTAAGTGTTTGTAAAGGACTTGGTAATACTTAGATGAAAGGTGATGTAAGAGTGCCAAGTACTGTTCTCATTGTTCACTGTAATCTATAGCCAGTGCAGTAGATTTTCAGAGAAACTCTCAGGGAGCTAAGAAATGCAGTTAAGTCTAGAGCTCCTGTCCTTGGTGTTTGCTTGCTAATTACCCAGCCGTAGGAGTCCAGTGAGCATAATTTGCAGATTTTTGCACAAAACTGAAGGTAAAGGTAGATACCTGTAACTTTGTTAAGAATTAAACCTCTGCCAGGAATTTGAAATTTTAAAATAGTATTTTCAAGAAAAAAGATTTGAAAATAGTATTTTCAAGATTCAGCATCATAGTTCATCCAGTTAAATGACTGAAGCATATGGTGCACAGTTTCTGTGGTGTGTCATGCCTATAAAAGGCCATCTAGCAACTCAAGAGATAGTAGGGATGTTTGTAAAATCAACTCAAGCATGTTGTCTTTGACTATATAAATAAGCAGTACAAAGGATAGAAATATTCTTTACCAAAATCTTTCTTTATATTGCACTTTTCCTGTGTTCTCTTGCAAGGAAGGTGTTGAGTATCTTGTTTTCACTTTCTTTCAACATCGGATTTTAGGGCTATGCCTACTAGTTTGTTTGAACAGTTTGTCCATACACAGGTCCCTGAAGCAACTGAGCGTATTATCTGTAAAAAAGGATGAATTGCATTCCTCGTTAGTTCCTTTCTGCTTTCCTTTTGCTATTCTTTCCAAATAGCTTGAATGTTAAACAGGTTTGTTTGCTTGTCTTTCAAACACCTGCCCCTTTCAGAATCAAATGAAAGAGCTGTCTTTGATGGCAACAGCAAGTCTGCACAGCAACCATACTATCTGGTTTGGCCATTTTCCCACCTCAACAATCATCTCCCCAGCCCCAGGAATACGAACATTAATGAGGTAAAATCTTTTTTTTCCTGTGTTTTTAGTCTGAAATACTTTTCTTGCCCCTCTTCACATACTTGTCTGCCACTTTTCAGATTTTCTGTAATGGTATTTCCTTCCCACCCAAATAATCCCAGTTCTTACGTTCTTTTATTAGTTCTGCCACAGCCTATTTATGTGGACATCTCCACACAATGGGTGGGCTGATACCAGCCTTGCACAGTCAGCACCGCAGTGGCACTCTGGAACTTGAATTGGGAGACTGGATGGATAACAGGAGGTAAGTAAAACCTGTGTGAGCAGGTATTATATGGAGCCTACCTGCTTATACTGCAATCCCCTTTTATGCTGTTTGGAGAATCTGAAAGAAGCATTAGTCTGCCTGACTGGTTGTTACTATTAATGCTTTTGAAAAAATGTCTCTCTGTGTTGGTTTGGGATTTTTTTTCCCTGTACCAACAGTGTGCTAATAAATTAAGGAATTTTTTGATTCATTCTTGATATTTAGAAATTAAAAAGAGGACATCTAAATATCCATTTAGCATGTGTTTAGTATTCAAAGTAGCTTCACTACTTCAAAATACCCCTGCTCTACACCAGCTGTTGAACACACTGGGGTCTTTGTCCATAACTAGAGTACCTACCCAGACACTGTAGTAATGTACATTATATTTGAATTCTTTAACATAAAGTTCATCTTTGACTTATAATCAAAATTCAATAGATCTTGCCATTTGGAATTTTGAGAGGTGCTTCAGTGATTTATAATCAAATGAACTTCATCAGAGGTAACCAGCTATACAGTTAACACAGCAGAGTTGGCTGATACAGGATCAACTACAGAAGAGAATAAATGGAAAATAAATCCAACAAGCTCTGTTTAGGAACTTGGGAAGCATGGGAATAAGCTGTGCATGCACTAGTTTGTATCAACAAAGTTCTTTTCCTTTCACTGTAGGTACCGGATCCTTGCATTTGATCATGACCTCTTTAGCTTTGCAGATCTTACCTTTGAAGAATGGCCTGTAGTCCTCATCACCAATCCCAAATCCTTCCTTTACAGCAGTTCTGCTCATGAACCACTAGTCAAAATTCGTTATTCCACTCATATCAGGTAACCTGTAATCTCTTGATTTCACAATATTTAACTATATTTTAATAGTTGGTCTTGGTTATAATGTACGTGTATATTTTTATGTATATACACAAAACCTTTTTTTAAAATGTTCTCAGAATTCATTTTTCTCTGGAAGATGGTTCCTAAGAGCTCACTTTGTATTGTATCTGTGATAAAGGTGATTATACAGTAGTAATTCGTGTTTGTTTTATTTATGCAGTTATTTCCCCTATAGTCGACTGAAACTTTTTTATGTAACTAAAGCTGGTAGAGTTAGATTGACATGTAATGTGGTGTTAATCTGACATGTTGACATTGCCTCCCCTCATTTCAGGATTTTGTCTATGTATTTTTCTAAGTGTTTTCTCTATTCACTTCAGACTTCTTTAGCCTCTTGTGTTTTCAGTTTTACATCCCTTATGTATTAAAATATCTTAAGCCTCTGCTAATTTTCATATTTGTTTTAAATTTCTCCATCTTTCCATTTCTATCTCTTTCTATTGATTTTTCCATTTGTATTTAAAACTTCTCTGCCCTTTCCAATGTCTTGCATTTGCTCTTAGACCACTATGCATGAAATAAATGGGTCTGTTGCATACACAGAATTACAATCAAAAGAAGTTCATCATATTTTTTGTTTAGGAAGCAGTGTTCTACCAAGGCTACCTACTTTCCAGTTTCCCATTTAGAACTTTATCTGAACATTCTTATGATTATATTAAATACATGAGCTGGTAGAATCATTCATCATAACTATGAGACTCCTTAGTTTGACTGAAACATACTCTGGCATGCTTTTTGCTTTACCAGAAATGAAAGAAATTGTATGTGCAATACAGACATTAGGAAGAAATTTTTCAAGTGAGGGTGGTGAGGCAGTGGCCCAGGTTGCCCAGAGAAGCTGTGGATGCCCCATCCCTGGAGGGGTTCAAGGCCAGGCTGGATGAGGCTTTGAGCAACCTGGGCTAGTGGGAGGTGTCCCTGCCCATGGCAGGGGGGTGGAACTCGATGATCTTTAAGGTCCTTTCCAGCCCAAACCCTTCTGTGATTCTATGATAGCGAGTCTATGTTAGTATCACTGTTTTGCTGAATGTAAGCGCTGCCAAGTGATACTACATTTGTTGGTATCTCAGATTGGTAATACCAGTCTTGCAGTCCACTCCATTTCTTATAAAGTCAGTTACAAAGACTGAGAGGTTTTACTTTGACAAGCAAGAAGTACAAAACCAACAACAACAAACCAAAAAAAGCGCAACAAACAAAACAACAACAAAAGAAAAATAAAAAACTCCACACCCAACAACAAAGGACTTTAAAAATTGCCAGTCTCTCTCTCTAATGAAGATATCTACAAATATTTGATTGTGTCTATATGTGTGTAGGAAGATGCATCCCACCTGTGTTAGCAAATGTTTTGACAGCAAGAGTTCTAAGATTATTTCTGCTAGAACCTGAGGATCTCTGACACTTTTTTTGTCTGTTCCACAGCCCGGTTTTCTATCCTATTCTTTTGCCCAATACCATACAGAATTTCTCTTTTTCAACTAGGAAAGAGCTACCATGTTACCATTAGGCTACAGATATTTCACTGTTTTAATTTCTAACTCTTTTGAACTCTTACCTACAAGGTAGCATTATCTTCAGGGATTTCTCTTCTGGAAGTAATGACAAATCTGCAAGTCCTGTAAAAACCTGTTTATTTTGCTGTTTATTCACTCCTTAGAATTTTGGCCTTCTCTCCTTCTGTCATTACCTCCATCAAAGTCTATATAGACGGAGTTCACTTGGGGAATGCGCATCAGGTGTCTGGCCCTCTCTATGTACTGAAGTGGAGTCCACAAAACTACAGTGAAGGGTTCCATCACATAGATGTGACTGTCCAGGTAAGGTACCTGGTGGCATTCTTTTTGTTGAATTTTTTATGTTGTCATGTCTGTTCCATCACCCTTCTGTGTCACATAACTAGGGACAAAATACATAACGGGCTTCCTTTCATATTTGTCTGATTACAAAAACCAAAGGATTTATTAAACGAAAGAACACTGACTGCTGAGCACTAAAACATCCATAAAGCATCTGGATAAAAGAAAGGATTCTTAATTTTCATGAGGAATATAATAAAACATGACAGAAGAGCAAGTAATTGGTCAAAAATAAATTATTTTGAGTAACAGGCAACAATTAACTTTTAAGGTTGTCTTGGGAAAAAAAAATAATCAGACTTGATCAAGGAAAATAGGACGTAGCATCATGTGAGTTCAGAAGGCAAAGGAGCCAGATCTGGAAGACTGGAATGCTGTCTTTCATTATCTGTTCTTTTCATGATCTCTTACAGGCTGACAGTGAATACAGTTTGTTTCCCAGAACATCAGACTTAACTGATATTAGATTACTGGGTGGAAAAAAAAATTCAGTGAATGGTTCTGTTCTTGGTACTATATTTTATTTTTGTACCTTCATGTGGCCTTCAAAGAACTCTATCAGACTGTTCTAACATTCTGCACATTTGCACAATAGTAATGGGAAAGTCAGTTTTGTCATGCTTGGTGGAGCCCAGCTAGGCATTATTTCCCACAGGAAAAGAGTGATATTGTGGGGTTTTTTTCCTAATGGCCTTTCTGTACTGCCAGAGTTCTACCTCCTCACTTGTTACAGATTTCTGCGATGCCTTACATGGGAAAGGTGCATTTTATAAGTCCTTTGTTTTTTGGTTCCTTTAATGATGATGAAAACATATGCACAAAACTGAGTAACATTTGTAGAGGGTTATACAGGCCTGCATAACACTAGTTTGCTTACAAATACATGCTTCTTATCAGATGACTGAATGGGATTTTTAAAACATTAATTTCCTTTCCTGTCCACTTACAAATCACTCTTACAGCTAGTTACTGAATAGTTTTGGGAAAGTGAGGAGGAGGAAGCATTAACATGACTTAGGTACCTGGAGAAAATATGAATATTCAATTGCTGGCATTGTCCAAATATTGCCTCAGCTGTAATCACACTAAATGTAATGAATCCTTTACTTTAAATAAACCATTTGTTATGTACTGGAAGATAAGGTGTCAGTGTTACGCATGCAGAAACATCAAACTGTTGAATAAATGTAGCACTGTTGGTGTTTATCAATATCAGTTTCTAGAAAATATGCCTGAAAAGCAGCACAACAAAGCTTCAAAAGATTTTAAGATGGGCTATTATCTAGAATTGAGCTTCCAGAAAACAAGTGGTGGTGGTGGCCAGTAAATAGTCACTGTCTTCCACAAGTTGCTGAATCTCTGACAGGATCTCCTTCATATGTAGCACTTTCAGATTATGATCTTACGATCACCAATTTACTTGAAACTATAAAATTGACAGTAAGTAATCCTTTGTAGGTAGAAGTATTCAATACAGCAGTATGCCAGACGTGCATGTGTTGATTGGATCTTTCCAGAAAAGCTGCAATGATAATTAGCAACTTTAACATATTTCGTGCATTACTGGTGTCTAATTTGCTTTCTTATTTTATATCAATCTAGGATGCTTCAGGAAGAATTAGCACACGGAGTCATATATTTGCTATGGAAGAAAACCTCTCTCTTAGATTTGGCTTTTGGCCATCTTTTATTCTTCTCACTGACCACAATGTTCTAGTAAGTACTTTAAGGAAAACAGATGTCATTCCATGTTGGTTTCCCCAGAGACTGCAAGAGGCATTTTCCTAATTCCTGCTAGACTTGAATGCACTGTGCTTTTTCCAGATATGACTCCATTGGAATTTCACAAATATTTCAAGTTTCCTTTCTCAAGGTACACGCTTCAAATGCTAAATGTGCAGCAATGGTTCATGCAAACAGGTGACTTGCTAAATGTAGTCACAATTGTCCATTTTTGAGGCATAGGTATACACACATTCTGTGCAAGCAATAAATAGAAAAGAAGCTACTGGAGATAGGAAAGAAAAGAAACATTAAGTCAAAGAAAACTTCGCTGTGATCCGTTGCAAAATGTGTACTGGCAAGAATGCTGGAAAAAGTCTCACATCAGCTGCTGACATTCTAGCTAGCTCTAGCAAAGAGGAAGGCAAAATTCCCATTGACTTCAGTATGTTCCAGATCATATCCAGAAGTGCTACAGCTCAGTACTTGCAAGTTACAGTACTTGGAAAGAAGGCATGCCATAATAGTTGAGGTGCGCTTATAGAACAATGTGGGCAAGTCCACATGACTGTAGATAGTATCATAATTTTCTCAGAATTATTATATTAGTTTTGTTAATCAGTAACCAATACTTTCCACAACGTCTTGAACTGCAGTTCTCTTAAGTACAGCACTCAATGTTTTACGTAGGAAGTGTATTTATATTTTTTCAATTGATGTGTTTTACAAACCTTGTTGTGTAAAGATTCAGGTCTATCACTTTCGGCAATCCAAGTGAGTTCAAGTCAGTAAGATGCAAGTCCAGTAACTTAAAACTCTTAAGTTTCTTTTTACTCTTCAGTTCAATGACACCATCAAGCTTTGAGTATGTGTTTCAGTTAGAAATCTTTGTATCATGCCATCGATGTCCGTAAGGCATGCTCAAATGCAGCTACTACTCCAGGGCTGGCTTAGAGTTAAAACTGTCTTTTCAGGCTTGTGTGCTCTTTGGACTGATGGTGCTGATTCAGATCGCCTTGCTCGTTATTTTCAGATACCTCCGAAAGCCACCACTTAAAGGTATGAACCAATGTTTGTCTGTGGTTTTTAGAGGACCTAATTTTCCCTAAACTTTTTTTACAATTTATCTGTATGCTAACAAGATATAAGTAATTGCAGTCTCACTCACCATATGCATTTTGCATCTAGTACTGTGAGGTTTGATTGGGTTCTCAGAAGCTGCTGTCTTCCTTAAGGGGACCCAAAAAATCTCCAAAGTATCGAATAAAGAAAATTAAAAACTAAAAACTTGATCAAGTATCTTTATTTAAACAAAAATACAATGAATTGAAGTCTGAAGATTTTATTTTGTCAAAGAATCTAGTGCATAGGGAAAGGAATGTTTTATTTTGTATTGGTTCTATCGTGACAGCTGGCACAGAATACTCTGTCACCTGAGTGAAGAAACAGATTTTGTTCTAGAAAAATATTTTTTGTTAGTCTTTGAAAAGAACATGAACAGGCTTGGGTCTCAAAATAATATTAAGACCAGTTCTGTCACAATTTAGTATTTTTCTTGTGATAAGCCTGATAAATGAAAATTAATATTATTAAGCTCATGGTGTTTATCCTTTAAACAACTGCTTGAACCACACCTTGCTAATGAGATTTTTCTGGAAGCCACCTCCCTTCCTATTCATGTCAGTGAATGTCCCTTCATTTATACCATAATCACATAGCATCCTGAGGTAACTGTTTACACAGAAAAAGAATAGATTTTTCAGTTGCCTTTATGGAACTCGGCAGCTAAAAATGAAAAGAGCTAGTGCTCTGTGATCAGCTAGGTCCCTGTAGACCATGACAAATGTTTTACAAATCAGTGAACAAATTTGTTAGAGCTGCTGATTTCCAAGGGTCAAGCTTGCTCTCTGGGAGTTAATGCTTTGTGAGAAGGGCAGCCACATAATAGGTGAAACTCTAAAATCTAACTTACAGCAAGGCGCTCTCAATCTATTAATTGTCTGCTTCACTTAGAAAATGAATATTGCTTTTTTTGTGAACATAACACTTGTCAGAATGTTGCCATTTTAACATCTAGCCTTCATTTTAATTGAGTTGCTATCGATCTCACCAAATAGATTTACTCAAAGAAAATCCAGTTAACCTAGTCCATGCTGACCTGCCTTTTTCGTTTTGCAGTTACTGCTTTGAATCTCTTACTTTTCCTTTAATATGAACTTTCTCCATGTTTTTCATTCTAGCTAACTTCATTTTCTGGGTATAGAATGGTCGTTCAGTTTTATTTGCATACAGTAAGTGTACTCATTTAGAATGGCAGCTGCTTCTGCTGTTTTTAACGTAGATTGTTACATTTATCAGTTCCTTACTTTCAGTTATCACAGTAATAGTAGAAATGCATTCCTTTGCGTTTGTTCTCTAGATATACCAAATATTATATTTCTTATTTAACAGAATGAGCAAATAATGTGCAGACTTGTTTCAGAAACACCAATATATTTGTGTTGCAACCTAAATTAAATGTATTTTTCTTAAATGTTGTCTCTGTTTAGAAAAGCCAGGATTACTTACTCTGACCTCGTATTCCCTTCACGTCTTCAGTAAAACAAACACCTTCTATTACTCAATTCTGGTTCTGAATTTATACACCCTTCTGGGTAAGTATCCTAGAGTACTAGGAAACAGAAATTAGTATTTTTAAACTACACATCAGATCCTGATGAAAAATGAGACTTCTAACATCTCGGAGAATGGGGGAAATCTACTTAAGGTACAAAAATCTATGTGGAACTTGAAAAGTTAATGTCCAAAGAGACCAAAGGTTTGTTTGTAAGAGCCTAACTTAGAAACTGTAAAATTAATTAAACATTTAAATTACTCTGAAAGCAAAGTGAGTATTTTTAAATTGAATTTGGTTTTCACTTATTCTTTGAGTAAGATCTGGTTGTACCTTTGTGTAAAATGAGTATATGGTATGTACATTTCAGTGAGATGTCACTAAGGCATCTCTGCTCTGATACTAACAATTTTAGCTTGTTTCTCCTCTGATAATATTATACTAAAATAGCTACTTTCTTGGCAGTCAGTGTAGTATGCCATAACAGTGCAGCCTGCTCATTTTGACTTCTTATCTGAGCCAAGCTGGAATTGTTTATGACCATGTCTTTCGTACGTCTTACTGTAACTCTGGGAAGAGGCCAGCATTTGGAAGGATCTAGCTTTTCACTTCTCTCATAAGGAAAATGTTACATGTGCTGTTGAAAATTGTCACAGAGGTGAAACCAACTTAAGAGTATTTTCACTGCATGCTGCTACTCATTGGTGTACCATGATATTTTCACATCAGGAACGTTCATTGCTGTTTGTTGAAGAAAAGATTAGGCTTATTACTATAGAGAATATTCTCAATAGAGAAGTTATTTTCCCCAGTTTACCACGTTGTGCTCAGCAGTACAAAGGGCCATGTGAAGAAGGGCCACGTCTATATTCTGTTTTCTGATGGTGCTGTATGTTTGGTTTCCTCTCTTTCAGGACCCTGGTTTGTAGGTGAATTGATAGATGGCCACTTGGGGGCCTGTTTTTCCTTTGGGGTGTTCGTTGGTGATTCCTTCTTACAGGGTGGTGTGACATTTCTGGTTGGGATTTTACAGGTACATATTTATGAAATTTAGGGCTGACAAACTGCTTTATTCTGGGAGTTTATTCTGATTTTTTTAATGGCTTTATAAAGGAGTTATTGGAAGGACAGAGAAGATTAGTGGCCATGCCTGACTAGAACAGCTCTTTCTTACCATTCTGCAAATTTAAAGGGCAGAAAGGAAGGAGGTTGTGCATTATTTTCTCAAACTTCGCTTTTTCCTCTATTTGATGTTGCTTTGGACTCCCTGGATGTCTGCACTAGAGGCCATCCTTACCGATTTATCACTAAATTTTTTTTATCCTTGGCTCATGCACAGGCTGCAGTGATTAAGCAAAAGGAACTAAATGGCCAGGGCAGCCCTTGCACACTGAATAGTGCTTCACATCAGTAGGTATCACTCTCCAAGCACAGGGGTCCAGTTTTCCCAGCAGTCTGACCTGGCTGCCATCTGGTTTTCCCAGCTGCCATTAGTCTGAAAGAGGGGGTGTCGTTCCTTGGCATTTAAGCCAGACAAAGCTAGTCTTGCCTCCTTCATGGTCCCTCGTTATACTAGTGCTAACACTTGTTTGACACCACAGTGGGCTGGGTCGGAGAGCTCAACTCACATAAGGACCTTCCTTTTTCACTCTGCTAGTGTTTTGCAAGTCTAGCTCCCGGACCCAGCTCCAAGAAAGGTCTGATGCATGTTGGTG